TAGTTGAGGGCTGGGTTACTATGGTTAGTAGTTGTCTGTATACAAAACTGGGAGGTATATATTCTAATGGGAGTAGTATATTGTGATAGCATTCTTAAAGATAGTCTGTCTTGATTACTGATGTTGTTGTTGTGGTATATGTATATTCATGAGAAGCAATTGCTCAACACACACTATACTACTACTAAGAACTGAAATATATATATACTGAGAGTGTAATGAGTGCTACCACTACTACGACACAGCGTATACCTAGAAACTACATCCCTTCAATATGATGCGCACTATCTATAGTACTACTCAGGTGGTAGTATTCTATAACTCAGTTCTACAGTGGCAAGTAATGCCCTGTGAACACTACTACAAAGCACATTGTACAAACCCAACCAACAATCCATTGACCCCATCATTGCCACAATCACCCAATCAGACTACAAGGAGGATCCTAAGTCGAAGGAATCCAACTGTTTGCCACAAAGGAAGCGAGTGCCCTGCTTCCGCCACTCCAGGGCTTACATACAATATGGGCCGATGGCTAGACAGCATCCCAGTCGAAGGAATGGATGAAGTCAGGTGCTCTACAGCCCTGATGAGGCTTCAAGTAGGAAGTAAGCGTAATGTAATTGAGACAAGTGCTCAGCAGGTCTGCCTTCATTGACCTTACAAGAACTACCAACAAGGATTCCAACAACTACGCGAGAGTAAAGCGAGAAGACAACCACAATGAGCAGACCACCTAACCAAGCATCTAACCAATTATCCCTCCCACCCCAGCATAACAACCAAAAGGATTCACAAGCAAGAACCACACCCCCCCAAATTCTAGAACCCATCGAACCCATCAACCATGTGCTTTTCCATCCCACCGTTCGCCTTACCACCCAGAGGAACACCACCACCGGATCCCTCCATTCCCCCCTTCATTTCCGAACCCTGACTGAACCGACCCATGGCTAATCCATCCATCCTTCCACGCTTAGCCGAGAGAAAACACACCATCCATCTATCTCCCATACACACTATTCAATTTACATCTCGCATGCCCGCCCATAAACGGTATAGCACAAACTCCACCCTCGGGACAGACAGACAGAACAGACAGATCTAACTAAGAGTCTACCAAGTGGACATACATAGTACTTAGTTGTCTCATCTCGTCTCATCCAAATTACTTTTTTGTTTAAGTAACCATGAATTATCATATCCCGTTTCCCGTTTTTCCCGGGATGTGGACTTCCACGTTCTCAGCTTGCCCCACTTCGGATATGAAGATGTAAGGTCAAGTAAGTATCCAAAGGGAAGAGACATGGTGGGAAAAAAAGTGGGTACGGAGGGATTGGGCCCAGCCCTAACCATGCCTATGCCATGGCATGAGAGATGATGATCCTTCCATATTCGTTCAATTAAGGATGGAAGAAGAAAACAAGGTAACAAGGAATGGGATGGATAGCCGACAGGACTTGATTCTTACGTCGATAGATATTACTATGTACTCCGTACATAGTATGTCTGAGTGAATGGCCAACCAAGTGAAAAAGTGGGTATATACATGACTAGCTAGTTAATTAACTAGTTAGTAAGAAAGAAAAGAAAGATGGTTACCTAAACTGGCTCCCTCTCTCTCTCTCGTACTGGACTCCACTGCACGCACCTATGCAACGCGCACACACACACACACACAAACACGCGATGGTATCTAAGTAGGGTGGGTCTTTCTTCCCTCGTGTCTGTCTGAGAGTGTGTCCGATGTTCAATCTCCGGGTGACAACTAACTAATTAGTCTAGCTTGCTACTAACTAAATGATTAGGTGATGTTCTTGGAATGAGATGAGATGGGAATTGTACCGAGGTTCGTTCTTCGAAGGATGGATCGATCAGCCTCGTGTATATTGCACACTGTCTTAGATGACTACTTGTCTACATAGTAAGTAAATGAAGTATTCACCACCACCCACATAGAAATAGAATAAGAAAAAAGGAAACTCGGACACGAGCTGCACATCATGCACGCTACTGAATGTGCGTGACTCCCGTGAACTTTGTCCTACATACCTATCCTCCTCCCATCTCCAACAACCATGTATCTAACCATCGTAGAAACTAGAGCGAAAGACTGAAATCAATCATCTAAACTAACCACTAACAACCTAGTCTCCAAACGCAATGTACATGAACCAGGATTAATGATTCCCCCTTCCCCCCTTGGGTCGCCAAAACATCGGCTAAGCCAAAACGCATGACATGACTCGACCCATCGATATCGAACCTAAGTAGTTAGCTGGGATAATTGTGTAAATGAGCACACGCCAACTTACTAACCAAATGTTGTTTGGTGGCCCTATATCTAACTATCTATCTAGGCAGATATATTAATTTGGAGTGGACTAACTAACTAATTACCTACGATCTAAGCAGAGGTGAATCCGTTCACATGTCTGTGACTTGACTCACTGTCTTAGCTTAGCTGAATCCCTAGATTATAGTAGTAGTAGGTGTATACGAAGCCACAAATTGTTTTTTTTTTTTTTTTTGCATCCACAGAAGCAAAGAACATCAATTGATCTCATCACGCTACGCTACTGCTGCCACTGTCATGGCATTGTTTCAATTGTAATGAAATGAAAATAAAAGTCAATGATCGTCAAGTTGAGATGGGGGTTTACGCAAGAGAAAATATACCCAAGATTGTTATCAATATTATTGTTGTTATTTACGATACAGACAGACAGACAGGAAAAGGAATGCGGATTGCGCCGCTTGCCGTCTAGGGTAGCCCTGTCCTGCGCAGCGCAGCCTTTCTCTTCTGTCGCAGTGAGTGAGAGTGAGTGACTGCCATGTGAAAATCACGCGTATCACACTTTATTACGCAAGCTAAGTAACTAACAACTTTCTCGGCATAGAGCTGAGTGGAAGATATATTTCCCCCCCCCCTCCCCCCTCTTGCTAAAAGGCTAACTAGCTAGTTAGCTAGTATACTAGCAACTTTAATTCAAACATATCATCCCACACCATCATAGTTCCTTTTTCTTTTCTGGCATGGATCGAGAAAAGAAAAGAAAGGACGGATGGAAAGGTAGTATCTCGGTAAAACCCAGGATCGAAAACTAGCCCAGGTTGTATCTTACGGTAAATGATAAATCCACGCTAGTAAGATACCAAGCGGCTTGTCAAAAGGCAAGCGTCACGATAGTGCATCGGCTTTGGTGCCAAACTCGGGAAGGGCCGACCGCAGCTGCAGGCGGAGCCGACGTCTGCCACGTGAAATGACCAGGGTCCAGAACTCCAGGGAGGCCGCTAGGACCGCCTCTAGTCCCAGTTGGGTTTGGAGTGTCCGACGCCCGCTCCAGCAGTTCTTAGCGAAAAGGAAGGGTGATTTTTTTTTTATTTATTTGTTTCGTTTAATACTAGTTAGTAAGGCGGTCGGTCGGTCGGTCGGCATCTTTGTTCAGGGGCCGATTTGAGAAGATCCATCCATCCATCTATCCATCCATGAAATGGGAGGATGATGGAAGGGACTGTAGATGAGGAATGGAAAATAGAGAGATGTGGGAAAAAGTGGGATGCTAAGCCTAACACGGCCGAACGGGAGGACTGCTCTTTCTTTCGGTTCCAGCTCGCAAGGGAAAAAACTGTTTGCATCACCTGCGCGCGCAACACATCGTCAAGTCACGCACAACCAGCGCCAAACTTACAGACGCGACTTAAACCACACAGCCTACAGATGAGAAAAAGAATGAGGCGTCATCACACACATCACTCTCTCACCACACCCCTTACCCTGCAGCATGTAAAATAGAGAAATAGGAAAAAATGATGCGCTTCATTCCGACTTCCCCAAGGAAAGAAAGGAAAAATCCTACCAGATCGGTCTCCGGCACTAAATCCCTTCCTTAACTCCGGGTTTCATCTAGGACGTGTCCCACTGCCATGAGGCGTGCACGAATTATGAACCCCTGGCTGCCTGGCTGCCTGGCCTGGGGGGAAGTCGCGCTTGCGACAACACTGTTCGTTCGTTCCCCACGAACCCACGGCTGTGTCCCTAGTTTAGTTCCCTGATGACGATCTGCGCTCGACGCCTTGACTAACCAACGTGGCGTTCGGGGAAGATGCTGGTTCTAGACAAGTTGATACCCGTCGTTTTGCCGGTTGCTTGAGAGAAAGTAGGCCACCGCAATCCTACTTGCCGGGCCATAGCTCTAAGCTCCAATCACAAGCCTTGCCTAAACCTCTTAGCGATCCCCCGATCGTGACATCTGTCAAGTCTATCAAGTGCCGGTAGGGGGTTAGGTTCTAGATCTTGCCTTTTTTAGCAAGGGGAAGTCCTGTCCCATCTTACAGTATGTAGGGAATATCGTCCAAAAGATGCCGGCGCATCAATTACTATGGATTCTGGAATGGAATGTTGCAAGCAAGCTGGAGCCTTGGTCAATCAAGTCGTAGGACTCCGTAGTTGTGGTAGTACGGCGGGGCGCCAGGGAAGGCCCAGTATGTATGGGCTGATTCTTTCCCAGGGAGCTGGGCTGGCAAGTTAGCTGCCTCTCTCTCCCCCCCTCACTCCTGGGGCCGGGCGGGACGAGATGGTCCTGCAGAACGGCGTCCATGCGTCAGATTCTTGGAAGTTGGCACACACCAAGCAAGCCAGTCTGCAGATGTGCTGGAGATCAACCGTCTTGTGGTCAAGCACAGCCGCCATGTCTTGTGCAACCCCCGATCGGTGGAAAAAGCAGAAAAGAATACGAAATACGAAGCGAAATAATAAGCAGTTAGAAAAAAGCAAAAGAGAGACAGCATAAAGGCCAAGAAGGAGGGATGGATGAATGGATAATCCATGTCATTAGTCATGGCCTGTTAGTGGTGGATCCAATACGGTCGCAAAAGCAACGAACGCAAGGCATGACGGCGTCACGCCGAGGTTGATCGGAACTCCGTAGTAGCAGCTGAAGCTGAAGCTCAACCTTGCCTGAGGCATACAGAAAATACAGTCAGCAGCAAGTAAGCGACGATCCGCCCACTCGTGGCTGGGAGAGCTGAAACCGGCACAAGGTTTCGCTTCCCTTAGTTTGATCGACCGTCACATCTTTGCCGCCCGCCTATCCCTCGGAACCGAAACTGTGACCTCGACCGAACCGCGACAAATGAAACAGACGAGCTGATGGGATGAGCAAAGGTGGCTTAGAGAGCGGGTGGTGCCGCCTGTCCATGGTTGCTTTTGGAAGGGAAACAAGATGGGATCGACACGAGAGGCGCAACTTGACTTTGCTGATGCCGTGGTTGTTTGGCACTCTCGGCGCGTGTGTGTTACGTATGTCTCTCGTCGGCACCAAAAGGTTGGATGGAAAGAAAGAAGAAAGAATGAAAGGATTTAGTTAGTTAATGATTTGGTGTTAAGGCAAAAATGCCAAACCATCGGTGCAACATTTCACACGATAGTTTGATACTACATCAGACAAAAAAAAATAAGCAAGCTATCCAAAATAGCAACGCGGACACGGATCTCAAGAACGGCAAAGTCTCCGAGGATTATACCACCCTGGGCCGGGATCAGATCAATAGCAGCAGTAATCAGCAGGTAGTAGGGGGCATAGACTGTTAATAATGCGGTGGGCACCTCCGACGGCATTTGTTCCGGGTCGGGGGGAGTGGATGCTATTATTAATCTTGTCAGGGGGATATTATTTCGATACCCGCACCTAAGCGACTTGCGGTAGGATTCCCGACGACTATTGAGGCGGTCAAAGCTGGAGCGTTGGAGAGCGTTGGATGATCGGCGTGCGCATCATTGTCAATCTTTATCAAGATTCCAGAGTTTATCTCGGAATCTCCCCGTCGCCTAGAAAACTGAAACCGGCACACGTCTTTGCCGAGCTGGCTGGACTTTTGGCTGGAATAATGGGCCCATGGGTTGCACTATTACTCAGACTAGTTATTCTTGAATCCATAACTGATACATAATATTATGCTCGAGACGAGGATAACACCGCCAGCAGAATACTCATAGTAGAGGCATTGAATATCCTCACTACATATAAACTATCCATCTAGAAGATCATCAAAGAAATCCCCCTAATGCACAAATACCTACCTACCTACCTACCTACCTCATTCCCTCACCGTTATACCTAGATACCCAACCCATGCAGCCAAAACCTAAAATTGGGTTGTAATGTCGTGGAAGCCCCCTCGAAAAAGTAAAAAGAAACGAGAATGAGATGCATCCCACGAAGTCAAATTCTAACTAACACACACAAAAGCTCACGCTGCACTGTAACTCAAGAATGCGACCACAACTACTCCGTAATTCCCACTTCCCCCTTCCCCAGTTTACCCCTACCTACCCCCTCTTTCACCCTTCGCCTTACAAACAATCCAAGAAATTAGTTGGTAGAGACAGAAAAAAAACAAGAACATGATCGGTCGGTCGGGTCGGGTCAGTCAGTCAGTCGGTCGGGACCCGACAACCTACCCAGAGAGTTACTTACTAGTATTCGTCGAGATATCCCTTTCCGGGCATGATGTGCTCGTTTAAGCTCAGGGCGATTTTCCCGACATGCGCAACCGCTAAGCGAAGGCTATCTGAGTTGCCTCTTAGCACAGCCATACATACTACAGTACTACGATATGTTTTCATTTGGATCATCAGTTCATTTCGTATCTGATTGAGGCTGGTGGATGATTGTCCGTCTGTCGTATACAACGCGCACTTCCATAATTAAAACAAACCCCTTCCCTTCCCGATTATGGAGTCTATGCTTTTGAGTGACAATCAATCAATCCCATTAGGATGGTAAAAGTAAATCATCAACACGTATGCACTGCCCACTCTCGATTCATTCATTTCCATTTTCTTTTCCTTATTTGGGTCGGGTAAAAGATGAATGATATTTGGTGGTTCGTTCATCGGCTCGCCCGTCTGTTCCCTTCTTCGGTCCTTGACTGAGTAGTAAGTAAGTTAAAGTGGGTTGGTTGTGTATGTGCCGGGTCTGCTCGGTCGCTCATCTCTCTCAACCTCTACTCTCATCGGCTCGGTCGGTAAGTAGGTAGGTAGTTAGTATAGTATGTTCTGGAACTTAGTACTTACATCTCACCTGCTCAAATAGGCAATATTCCACTTTCTGCGTTATATAGCCCATTTTATTTATTGATTTTTCATATATTGCCTGATCTGCCCTGAGGGGAGGAGGGGTCGGAGGGGGGAGGATGAAGATCACCGCGGGACCTTTCCGAGGGGCAGCATATTGATATGTGGATTGTGGATCTACATACTACGTAGTATTCGACTAACTTATGCTGTACTCCGTAGATACGTAGTAGATAGGTTAGGTTAGGTTACTTTTTGGGGTTGATACATTGTTTGTGTTTGTTTGTTCCACCTTGTTATGGATATGAGGGTTTTACTTGGCGAACTGTACTGGTGAACTTGGGTTCTGATCATTGGGGGGTTTGGGTTTCATATGCTTTCTTTACCCTTGTTTAGTTTGAAACTCAACTTAACTCATGGCGGGGGAGGGGAGGGGAGAAAAATGTCTCATGGTTTACTTTAGTTTACTTGCTTTTGGTTTCTTGGGATGTCGTAAGCAAGCTTTTTGAGGATCTGTGACTATGAACTGCCGGGTGGTTGCCGCGGAGGTGATTGGAATGGATGGATGCTATACTAGACTGCTACTACTAGTGCTCTTTACCCCCCGCTTCGTGGTGGTGGTGGTGGCGGCGGCGGCTCAGTTTCGCCTCAGAGTTCAGAGCCAAGATGAGACACATACGACAGATGAGACAGATCTAGTTCCGGTGTTCCGAGGATCATCTACTACTTACTATCTACCATGCATTTACTAGCTGTGAACTACGACGCAAGAAGCATACCATACCATACCATAGTAGCGTAGCCAACTATCAAGGGTAGTGAGTAGATGGTAAGATAGTAGTAGAGCCTCCCAACCCAGCGGATACTGTGATAATCCAAGGAAATTGATGAAAATCCCGACCGTCTGGACCGACCTCCCAGGAAATTAATATCGCGGGTTTACTATCCCTATAATATAAGATAATATAATCTAAACTAACACTGACTACGGGAGTCGTAGGCCGTAGGCCGAGTGGACTAGGGTAGGTACTAGGTAGGTAGGCTATATGGCTCGCTCGCTCGGTCACTACGCAAGAGCCGACGCTTAAGTGGAGAGAGAAGTTTAGTAACGAGGGGGGCAAAAGCAACCAAGCCAATATGATTGGATGGGACAGGGGAACGGACAGCTTCGCTTCCACGAGACAAGAGCATCAACCTAACAGCCTGAAGCAGGCTCGTTTATTAAAGTTTGGGACCGCTGGGGAATCAATCAATCTGCTCGCACATGGAACTGCCGGGACTGGTAGTACGTAGCTGGAACTGGACCGGGTTTCATCATTAATTGTGGGTTTAATTTTCTTTCTTTTCCTTCGTTGTTCGGGTCGAGTCCCATGTGTAGAATGGAAGAGGAGAATCCTGACGCGTATGTCAGCGCTTCCATTAATCGTATTGTCTTAGAGTAAGTGTGTGTCCATCCATGGATGAATCAATCTCCGTATGGAGTAGTCAGCCGTTCTGGATACCACACACACAAAACAGCCCAGACGATCATTTAATCTATCTTGCAGCATCCGGGGGAAGGAAATGGATTTGACTAAGGATGATGTAATTCGGCGTCGCCGACAGTTGGCGTTTGTTTTTTGAATTGTTAGGTTACTTTAGTTGGCACTGGCAGGTTGGTAAAAATGGATGGATGATCCGCTAAAAGTCGCCAAGGAGGGGGGGAAGAGGAAGGCAGGAAGGGATTGATCGACTGTGCCATTCCATTGTTGCGTCTCCCTTCGCTACAAATTAAAAATCACACTAAGCTAGATATGTACTACGGCCGGGAGCATTACCACTTCGGGCGATGGGGGCGCTCGCGTTGGCATCGCTCAGGTACGCTTCCGGTAATCGGGTGTGGGCGGTGTGGTCCGCCGCTAAGGGTGATTTGTGCTGATCAGTTGTGTTCGGAAGAATACCAAGAAAGAGGTAAAGTGCAAGGCCAGCCTGCTTGCTACTACTGAGGCTTGAGACGCGACAGGGATGGGGCCTGTTTAGATGTGATGATGATGGTGATGGTGGTGGTGATGGATTATGCCGATGAATGAATGACCTCAAAATAGAGATTTTTTGATTTTCAATTTTTGCTTGGCTGTACCTACAGCATACCTTACTGTAGATCTACTTACCCTTTCCTAACAACTACCACGAAGTTCAGATTTCTCGTGAAACCAAAAATTCGTGACATAAAAACGGCCAGCCAACCAGCCGGAAGCAATTCATCCGACGGGAAGCGAACGCATAAACTGACTGACTGATGACTGATCTCGGTTCCCAGAAATAATACCGGGATGATCAACAACTAAAACCACAGTTAATAAGGTGGAAAGTAGTAGGTCCGTCCGTTCTTTCTTCCCCCCTTCGTCTCCATAACCCTTTTCGGGATTCGTCTTGTAGCTCTCCCGGCCGAGGTACATGTCTCGTGTGTGAGCGTCCCGCCTTACTCCGGCTATGAGGCCCTTGGGGACCTCCCGAGAATCAAAGTATAATTGTGTCTCTTCTCGAAATGTCTCGTTTAGCCATGCTTATTTTGGACTTGAGACCGCCCGTAGGCAAAGCTTTTTAGTTTAGACGTTCGTGATCTGACGGTCGATCCCAATGGAAGTGAGGGAATGCGGATATGGCCTTTTGGCAGGGAAATCGAATCCATCTACACTACTATCCACTTCGGCAGTTGATATCGGTGGTTATTAGCCTCGTCAGTCAGCCTTCCTTCCCTTGATCATGGTTGGTGGCTGTGGTGATGATGACGATTATGATGATGATGATGCGCTGTGCAGTTCCCACCAACTAAATCGATGCGGCCCGAATGTGGACGACAGGCAGAGAAAGAAAGAAGCAAAAGTGCAAGTAGATATCCGGTTTTGAGACAAAGTCAATTGTCTCAAAGAATATTTGCTGAAAGGGGTGGTGACTTAGGCACACATACACACCAACGACCCCAGCCCTGGTCGACGTCATTGACCAGTCACCGTAGAATGCATGCACCATGCAGCATCCGCAGCATGGTTGATCAATCAGGGGAGGTTTTCCCTGGATCCCTTGAGTTACGCCTGGGCCAGTCAGTTATCGCTTGCATGGACGATGCATTTTTCCCCATCTCCATCGCCCGGTTTCTGTCATTCTCGTTGGATGGTTGATTTTCTCCGTTCTGCAAAAACAAAAAAGAGTTACTAGTGGTCACTGCCTGACCAACACATCTCACCAGCCCCAAAGAAGAGCAACAAAAAAGAAAAGAAAGAGTATTGCTAATAATGAGCAAACCGAGATGTGAATCTACATCGTACATAGATACATCTCCGTAGTCTATCAAACTAACCCTCGGGGGGCCAGATGATCATACAATAATAATAATCATCCGAAAGGGCTTTCCCTTCCGTCTTGTTTGTTGGTCGGATCGGATCAATCTAGCTGACTTGGGATTAGTTTAGTCAGCGGCATCCTTCTGCTCTTCTTTTCTTTTTCTTTTCATTTATTTAGAGGAAATTACTTTATTCTTGTTGGCTGTCAACTGCCATGATAATCTCCGGCATTCCTCATCACCGTAAAAAGAAAATAAGCAAAATAGAATAAACCATCTTGGCCCCCCGACCGACCGAAAGGAATGGGTGCTATGAACTAGTCTAGCCTGAGGATCGTTCAGAGATTCCTTTCTTGGATGGACCAGACCTAAGCTCTCTTGGGCTTAGAGCCCCCTTTTGCTTAACAAGCAGGCCAAAAAGAGCGAGCTGCCATGCCATCCGCGCATCGTGCCGCGACTCCGTCAGCCCGGCCGGCCCCAAGGGATTGGACCATCCCCGGAGACATTTCCCATCCCAGACATCAAGCGAGTCATGGCCCTCACGATGGGCGTTTCTCCATTTCCCATCTCCGTGGTCTAGGGAGAAAAACTAAGGGGGTGTCTGTGTGAGTAGTGTACTGACGCTATCAACGGAGTCTTTTCCATCAAAGTAACTTTTCTTCTATTATTATAATGTGCTGGTCTGTGTTGTTGGACCACGCACGCATTGTCTCAGTACCAAAGGATCTTCGGAGAAATAGGATCGAGTAGTAAGAGACAATTAATTTAGAGAAGGAATAACTATGGATGGAATGGATTCAGGGTCACCTTTTCAGATTGTTTTCCAGAAAGGGATGTTTAATCGACCGCTAGAATACGGAAAGAACGGAGATGGAAACTGAGACCAACCAGGGTTGAGATCTGGGAATAGATTGGATCCCTTCTCTATTACGCGCTCTCTCTCTCTGTATGTGTGTGTGTCTGTCTGCGTCTTCCCCTCCCCCTTCCCCTCAAACCGGTGATCTGAGCCATGCTGGACCAGGGTTGGACTGTTTGGGTCACGGACAAGTACCGGGACGGAACCAGCCAAGTGGGAAGGAGGGAGGGGTACCTTAGGCAGCGAGTTTCGCCCACCGAGGGCCCCGAACACACAGGATCTACGGGGAGGAGGAAGAGGGAGGGGGGCGTGTATGGAAAGCAGAGGGGTGGGGAGGAGACCCAGAAGGGGACAGCCAGGACTGGCTAACCATGAAAGCTGGTTGGAAGCAAGCTGGAACCACATGAGATCAGGTTCTCAAGCAGCAAAGCAGCCAACATCCAGCAGCAGTAGCAGTAGCAGCAGAGCAACAGCCAGCCAGCAGCAGCGTGATCGTGCGGCAACGATCAGCCGTTTATGGGGCATGGGATCGTTGTGACAGGTAAAACCAGGACGGAGCCTTGGGGGTTCCACCCCGAAGAGAAAGATCGGCTGCTGGCGTAAGTGCAAGCCAGATGGTAAAGTAAGTCCAGCCCAGAGTTCGATTCGATTACCACCATAATACCGGACGGAGACTTCCATTTCTTTGCTTAGGGTTGTCGACTAGTAGTAGGGGGGTGGTGTGGATGCCACTGGTGGTCGGCTCCGTCCCCATGATGAAGGATGATCTCTGATTGATTCCTGGAGGGCGCGCATGATGGAGAAAGGAAAGGTGTCCGTGGATCTGCACTAGCGCCAGACTTACTGTAGCCGAGCCCCGAAAGTACCGTTGGCTTTGGCTCCATCGGCCGATCTGAGAGTGAGAGAGACAGACAGACAGACAGACAGACAGACAGACAGACAGTGTGTGTGAGAGTGTGAGAGTCAGAGGTCAAGAGAGTCAGAGTCAGTTACTGTGTGGTTGCTGTGCCCTTCGTACGACGCAGTTACGTACCCCCTTCTCCTCCCGCCGCGTTGCTTCTTTCAGGAGTAGATCTCCGTTGGGATCTCATTGTTCGTAACTTTTTTTGAAGAGTCATGCTCGTGATGTTGCTTGCTTGCTTGCTTGCTGCTGCTGCTGTTACTGCTACTACTACTGTTGCTAACTGGTCTAGAGCAAAGTGGAGGAAGATTTCTTGTCGTCATACTTTTACTACTACAAAATTCTCCTTTGTCTATCTATAGCACTTGTAGATAGAAAGAAGAATGATCGACTGTCTCTCATCTCGTCTCTTTTACCCAGTCTCAGCTTGATCTGCCATCATCTTACTTCCGTGCTCATCAGCTCCCATGGAAAAACCATCCACTCTTCCCAGGGTTAAGATGGCCTGGGGGGGAGGGGAGCAGCGAAGGGTGTGGAATAATGGTGGAGGCGGCGCACGTTGTTTTAGCTCTCGTTGAGCCTACCTAAAAGGTATAGCAAAGCTAATGGCAAATCATCCCGGTTAAGTGTTTTTTCATTTTGAATTTTCTAATTTCCCTCTTTTGGAATTCCGAAAGCGGTAAATTAGAAAACAGGGAAATTCAAAAAAGAAAATGGAAAAATTAAAAATAAAAATTCCAAAAAGGAAACGTAAATTACCCGCCAAGAGCAAGACATCGCGTGTGGTGCTCCGTACCGGGGCCACTGCCCATTAATTAAGCTTTGGGACGGAGGTATCAGCCCTTGTGGAAGCGAATCGAGTAAAATTAAATTAAATTAAATAGAGAGAGAAAATAAAAGAAATGTGGCCACTGCGGGCTCGGGAATATTCAAGACGCCGCTGGGACTGGAGGGATGAAGGAAGAGAAGAAGAAAAAGAAATTAGTAAAATAATATGAGGATAAACCAAGCCAGAACGGAGGATATCGTACCTGTTCGGCTGTGTGGCAGGAAGAAGGAAGTTAGTAGGTTCATCCCTCTACTAGACGAGATACTCATCAGACGGGGGGAGGAAAAAAAAGTGTAATTATTTGGGGACCAGCGATTTTGCGTCGGATTCGCCCGCTTTCTCTCCCTCCTGTGAGTCTGTTCTGTCTGTCCTGTCTGTATTTTGGCTTGTCTTGTGTCTGGCTGCCTCTTTTTTTTATTTTTATTTTTTTTTATTTCGCGTCTCTTTTTCTCCCTCTCACACTCTCTTCGGGCTCTCCACCCGTCGGTTGAACCACTACGGCCGGAGTATACTCCCCAGCGGGCAGCTATAATTAAACTGCCTGTCGATTGATCCTCCCTGGATTTTATTTTATTTTATTATTTTATTTTCTGATAAAATAAAATATTCTCTCTATTTTATTTTATTATTTTTCCTGTCAACCTTGCTCCCCACTTTTCGCATATCTCCACTATTCCACACCCTCAATCATCGTCTCTCCTTCTCTTCCCCTCTGCCATCCACGCGCTTTGGTCTATAAACCCCGTTCATATCCTCCTCCATCTCTCCCCCCCCTGTTCCCATCAAACCCACCCCCACTTGTACCTTGCCTCCAATTCCATTGGATCCATCTTTCGTTGCCTCTTGACTCGACCTCGCTTTTATATATCTTCCCTCGGTAGCCTCCTTCTTGCCTGCTATAAGCTACCTTTTTCTTTCCACTCGGTTTCATCCAACCTTATATACATACATACATATACATCCACCCTCCTCCTCCACCACCTCCCTCACCTACCACCACCTTCTTCAACACTCAACATGGATCTCGCCAGCCTCATCTCCCACCCGGGACCCGATCCCATCATGAAGTCTAGAGCCTCATACAGCCCTCCCATGACCTCTTACAAGCGGTCCATCGAACAGACTTCCGACTCATACTTCCCCTCCGTCCCGATCTCCTACACCCGCTCCCCGCAGCCTCCTCTCTCCCCGCCTGTTGAGGACCACTCTCCCAAGTGCTCTCTTCCTTCCATCTCTACCTTGCTTGAGGGCGCAGATGGCGCAGCTATGCACGCAGCAAGTATGGCCCCCAATGCTTAGAAAGTCGTCCGGAGAAGACCGAAGGAGTCAAATGCTGACAAGAGATTCCTGCAGAGCGTACTAGAATGACCCCTCCTCTGCAGCGCGACCTTGATTCCCGCCAACAGTCGCAAGCATACGACCTCAAAGCCAACGGCCCCCAAATCGCCCTGCCCCCCACGCCCCCATTGCGCCCTGGGTCTAGCTTCCACAGCGCCGGCCACTCCCCCGCTTCCTCCATCTCTGCTGCCAGCGATGCTGCTGCGCCCAAGCGCTCCGACTCCTACCCTCAAGTGCCCATGGCTCTGCCGAGCCCCTCGGATCGGTCGTCCATCTCCAGCCAGGGTTCCGTTCAGGGTGTCTCCAGCGCTTCCTACGCTTCTCCCGCTCCCAGCGTCTCTTCCTACTCCTCTCCCATTGAGCCTTCGGCCTCCTCCGCCATGTTCTACCAGCGCACGGCGCCTTCCACTTCGGCCGCTCCTCTCCCGACACCGGCAGCACCGCAACAGATTATCTCCCCTGTGAACCCTGCCTGGCAACACCACCACTACTTCCCTCCCTCCAGCACCACGCCCTACCAGCAGAACCATGATCGCTATATCTGCCGCACCTGCCACAAGGCCTTCTCGAGACCTTCCAGCCTGCGCATCCACTCTCACAGCCACACGGGCGAGAAGCCCTTCCGCTGCACCCACGCTGGTTGTGGGAAGGCCTTCAGTGTGCGCAGCAACATGAAGCGTCATGAGCGTGGTTGCCACAGTGGTCGGCCCGTCGCAACTGCCATGGTATAAAAAGACCGCCACTGGGTGTCCGGTCACCTTGATGCGCCTCGAAGGCAATCAAGGCAACAAAAAAGCTCGACAAAAAAGCAAGAGCTATACAATTTAAAAAAAAAGGACCATACCACTCCATCATACCAACCTCCCTGAACCCAGCGACCATCTGCTCTGATTTCTTCTTTGAATGATACCCTTTTGTGCATGTTTTATTTTCACTTCTTCTGATCCTCACGCACCCGGGAATCCATGGGACTTGGGTGTGTTGTGATGGGAATCCCCATCTTTTCTTTCTTCACTTCCACCTGTGTATATTTGGATGTCTTCTTCCCTTTTTTATATTTTATTGTCCATGTGAAAAGGAGCAGGCGTCGCTGGTTTTCGGTCTGGGAAATGCAAAAGCATCATAAGAGTCGGGAGGAGAATCATTGGGCATGGGATTATCGGAGTCTCAACTCTGGTTTGAAATTTTTTCTTATTTTCTGTGTTTCCTATATCTTTTTTCCCTTTTTTTATTTCCTTATTTTTCCTTGTGTCATCTCATTTCCTTTGTTATGATGTGACATGACCTTGTGAACAAGAGATGTTCCTACTATACGATTATAACAAACGCACAACAGCTTTGTTGTACTCTGGTATGAAGAAACCAAATTAAGAGCATAGACTCGCATTCTAGATGAAGATCAAGCTTCCATTCCACCAAGCCCTTACCAACTATAGTATAATACAGCGTAGACGGACACTAATACTTCGTAATCATCGTCTTTATCCCCCCCACCTCTCTACATCTAATCATCTTGCTTACACCTTACCCCCCATACTCGCATCTTACAAGTATAGAAGACCTAACCACCCGTTCTCCTTCGCAACATATGAAGCAAAAAGACACAGGCCTCTTCTTAGACTACTCGACTAAACTAGATAATCTTCCCTCCTACTTAATTCCATCTTAAATCTTTCTCACCCTACTTCACCACTCTTTCTTCGCCTCTTGACCTTTTCCGACCCTTCAAGATCTTTATCACTACTAGCACCGGAGGGGGAGAACTCGTCAATGCCTTGACCTGACCATCATGTACAAGAAGTCAGCATACTGCATTCGGACCACTTCCATAACCGAAGTCCCCACGAACGAGACAGATCAAATAACTCTCGAAATACTAACCAATATTAATAAAGATGATATGATATATAGAGCGAATCTGTAATTCAGTAATCTCAAATTCAAGCGATCTATATACTACTCATACTCAATCCATACTTGCAATGATGGAGAATGTGTAAAAACTGCTATAATTTCCATCCAACACCACCACCGCCATTGCCAAATTCCCGGACTCGCTAAATGACTAAAACTACCTGCGTATCAATCAATCAATCAATCAATCAATAATATTTGCCTATTCTCCCAAACGGAAAGAAAGGAAAGGAAAAAAACAAATCGACGCAGCCACTCCGGAAGGAAAGGGAAATAAATAATGTATCATGACGATCGTAACCAAAAAGAGACACGAGGTATTCCAAATCGGAAGAAAAGAAAAAGACAATTGAAATTGCGAGTAAAGGGGAATATTTCCGGATAGTATGTAATAGAATAGAGAAGAAGGGACAGGGAATTTGGAGAATAGAGAGGAAGGAATGAAGAAAGGGAGGTATCGGGAGTCAAGGATAAGCACTTCATGGCCGTAATCGCAATTTCGTCGTTATTGTGGTGGTTGTAATCAACATCATCAACCATGAACGCTTACACTACCTGTACTGGCAGCAGGTCCCATGGTCGTCCTCCTCCCTGTCACGGCCTTTCGTTTGGCAATGGCTCCCTTGAAGTCGATCAGGTTGTAGTCTTCGGGCATGTGCTCGCCACTGTAGATGCAGAGGACGCGCATTCCCGGCTTGTAAGCCAACCCGCTAAGTAGCTTGGGTGTGATCAGGAAGTACTGGCCGCCGCCGCCGGTTTCAGATGGGGCGCAGGCTATATCGACCAGACGGCCATGGACCATGCGCTCGTTTCGGGGATCCATACCCTGATTGATTTCGTCGACCACGCGGAAGGGGGATGCGGAGAGAGATTGGAGGGCCATGAGGTAGAAGATGGTGCTGACGGCGCGTTCACCACCGGACTGACGGTGCGAGTCCAGCAGGGAAAGGTTTTCGTGTTCGCGGAATTTGACGTGGATTTGAATCGACCATTGGTCGAAGTCGCTGTCACCTGGTTCGCCGTTCGGACCAGTCTCTTCGGCCTTGTCCAGGGTGACTTGGCCGGCGCAGCCGATGCGGGCGAACGAGTCGGAGAAAGCGTCGCTGATGCTTTTGATGATTGAGTCAAGCTTGGGTTCCCAGCGGCCGCGGATTTCATTGATGGCGTGGTTGTAGTCGTCCAGCTTTTTCTGGAAGTCGGCGAGTTTGTCACGCAGCTTGTCGATTTGACGTCCACGTTCTTCGAATTCTTTGATCACATTACTGTTTCCACCGTGGGTGAGTTCGAGACGAGCCTTTTCGGAGTCAATGTCGGCCTCGAACTGCTCCATTGTCATATCTTTAATCGTGTGTAATAGTTCGGCTAGGTCGGGCTGTTGTTGGGAAATATTGGCGACCTTCACGGCGTCGTCTTGGAGCTTTTTGACCGTTTTGCCTGTGTCTTTGATTTCCTGATTCGCCTCTTTCAATTCATTGTGCTTGGCTTCCAGCGTCTGCCGGTGTTCGACGTTCCGAGCTTTCAAGACTTCTAGGTCTGAGACACCTTCGATGTGCCGCACTTTCAGCTTGATGACTTCTTCATGAAGTTTTTGGAAGTTTTCAACGGCGTTCTATCTTCTATTAGTAACAGGACCTTGGTATCTATGCCCTGTGAACTTACAGCATATTCAATGACGGCCTCTGCCTTGCGGAGGGATGCCTGATCTTGCTCACTACGGAGGTTGGCGACTCGCGTTCTCATCTGCTCGAACATTTTCTGGTTTTCCTTCTGCCTCGCTTCTTGCTGGCCTGTCGGTGTGTTAGAGTACCCAATCTGCGAAGGGTGCGACGTGTCACCTACGTATTCTCTCCGGAATAGCCCTGAATTGTGTTAGAGCTGTCTGCTTTTCTCCCTTCTCCCGCTCAAGCTCGCTCTGCAAGATCTCACGTTAGCACACAGAAAACATTCATGACAGCATAAGCTCAACATACTTGCTCTTGTTTGAGTTCAGTGTGTTTATGACCAAGTTGTTCAAGCCTGGCCTTTTCACTGTTTATCTGCTCTTGCACCTCCTGCACTTCGCCTTTCAGTGTACGGATCTTCTGCGTGGCTCTTTGTCTCTCTGATGCATCCACTGGTTGTGAGGTCCAGAATTTAGCTGGCCTCAGAGGCCTAAGCCGGGAGGAAATTGCGTCGTATTCCCTTCGCCGCATAACCGTATAGTTTAGCCTTCCAGAAACCCAGGAAATTAAGCGACCCGTTTTCAAGCGTTCGAAATCATTGTCTGCCATGTCTGCATGACTAATGGGTATCTGGTGCAGGCCCTTTTCGCTACAGAGCATAGCCAGAACTGGATCTGGTCCACTGAGACAATCCTTCGCCCAGCACTCAAATCCGAATTCGCGGAATTCGTCAGCCTCGGCTGCAGAAGGCTGAAGTCTATCTAGTGGTGTGGAACATGTTCGAATACTAATATCGGTCAACTTCTGTTCGCCGCAGAGTATCCTCTGCAAGGTCCTGAAGTCATTCCGGGTTTGCGTAGTGAAGGCCATGAAGTCCGTGCGCTGCAAGAAGGACTCAACAGCGTCGGCGTACTTTGGGTCTTTGATTGAGCATGTAACCACTGGAGGCCCAAAGACCTCCTTTTCGAACTTGTCTTGGTTTTGTTGGATCCAATGATAGGCGCGAACGGAATCGGCAGAGAGTCGTCCAAGCTTGTTCTCTTGCTGTCCAGCCTGGGATTCCAAGTTTTGTAACTGACGTTCCGCCTGCTTGATCTGATCGGCTTTCACATTCAATCTTTCGAAAAGTGGTCGTCGGTCGCTTTTAATCTGGGCCGCCTTTTCTTCAATTTCCCTGATTTCTCGTCGTTTTTCTCTCTGTTTCATGGATTAGTAGTTATAGTCAACATCATCCTGCAAAAACTTACTATTTGCTCGTTATACCACTCCACATCGAAGTCGTCAGGTTTCTCATTCAACTGACGCGTGAGCTTGTTTATCGTTTGCTGAATCTTAGTTGCTTCTTGCCTATAGCCTTGCCCGCCCTCTTTTTCGGCATTGATTTCATCGTCAAATCCCTTTATCTCCCGCTCATGTTGTTCAATTCTTCGGCCAGCGTCGGAAGCCGCACGCTCGGCTTCCTCTAGACGACGCGTTTTATACTTGATAACCTCGTCCGTTTCGAGACAGTACTGTTGTTTTGCATTGACGGATCTTAAGGCAGGCTCGAGATCCTCTTTGAGTCGCGCTAGTTCGCGTTCGATTCTTTTAACTTCCCTTCTCATATTATTATACCTCTCGTGTCCCTGTTTATACTGCAGAACAGGTCGGGCCATCTCCAACATCTCGATTTTCCTCTTAATCTGAGCCCTTTGGCGCATCCGCTCAACGTCGGCTCTTTGCATTTCTTGCCGATCCTCAAGGTTCGTCAAAGTGTCACGGTCGCCTTGGTTGTCCGCTTGCAGCTTCTTTTGCTCCGCTCTCAAACGCTTCAGGTTCTCATGCCATTCGATCATTTCCTCGCCAGCGGCGGCTCTTTGGGTTGAATTGAGCAACTCTATTGGTGTCAGAGCTGCGAATTCGGCGACTTTATCCTGGGGAAGGAATTGGCAGAGGTTATCAATCTGGATAGAGAATGATTGTGCTAGCTTCAGCACCTGGGAGCGGGAGGCCTGTTTTCCGTTGATCGTGAACGTGCTTTTATTGCCGTCACGCTTGATGGTTCTAGAAACGACAGGATTGTGACGAGAACCCGGCTTTCCAGCCAGCTCGATCTCAATCGTAGCTTCTCTACAGCCATGCTTCACAAACTCTCCCGTGTCTTTTGCACGTCCGAGATGCTAGATGAAAACCCGTTAGGAGACGTGCCATACTGTATACGAAAGGTTACTGTACCTGTGGTCCCCATCCTAAACCAAGACATATCGCGCAAACAAGGGTACTCTTTCCGGTACCATTCGGACCGATAACCATGTTCAGCTTCGGGCCAGGGAAGAATTCCGCAGACGTGTAGGTTACGAAGTCCGTCACTCTAATACGCACAATAGCACCTGGCTTATACGCTTCCTGCGGCCCTCCATTAAGCAGACCACTCTGCGATAAAGTCGATCCCGTCCCTGCAGTCTGGGTGCTAGGGTGCTTGCTAGACCCGGACCCTGCTGCATTTGACGCGGCGTACTCATCGGTGTCACGGTCAGAGCTCTCTGATTCTGCAGTATCGCTATCTTGATCGTCGTCAGTACCATCCCGAGCACTCCTCTTCTGGGCGGTTCCATTCTGCGAAGCATTCCGGCTTGTTGCTGATTTCGGCGTTGCGACTTTAGCGCTGCTCTTCTTCGAAAGGTCAGAGGTCGACTTCGAAGGACGTTTCACTTCGGTGTCATCTTCGGCGTTTTCAGACTCTTCAGAAGCTTCATCGTTCCCTTCTTGAGGTACATCGCCCAGAGTTTCTACCTCCTCTGCAGCTCCAGCTTGGGCCTCGCTATCGTCCAAGGCGCCGTCCTTCGCGGACTCGTAGTTGCCATCGGCCGTCTCTTCGGATGCTTCCCTTTCCTCGTCCTGGTTGGTCGCAGAACCCTCCTGATCGCTCAAGTTCTCATTGCCCGACCCGTCCTCCACTTCCTCCTGTAGCTCCTCATACCGGATGTCCTGGCCGTCGTCTGAGCCCTCCCCCAGTTCCTCTGACCCCCGACCCCTGAAATCCTGTCCATCCACCTCATCTCTGACCTCTACCATTTCGTCTTCCTCATCAGGCTCCTCAGTACTCAATCGTAGCCGTTTACTATCGCCCGAGCGATGCGACGACGTGCGCGAACCCCTCATCGGCCCAGAGGAAGCTCTCTCACTAACACTACCCACATCGTCACCATCGCCATCATCAGACCGGCGTCGTCGGCGAGGGATCGACCCCCGAGAAGACATGTTGAATAGATCGAGTCGCGCAACAACGCATACACTTTAGTTCACCAGCGCATCGACATTGGTGGTGGATGATACTTCGGAAAGGATGAACGGGGCCTGGTAGAAGGCAATGCAAGTGAGCGGGGTCCTGAATGAAACCCCAGTAATTGAATAGATAAAGAACAACCCGAAGCGTAGTATAAAGGATATCAAATCCAAAAAGTAAACGCGGCTCACGCGTGATTTGACGCGATGAGCGGGACAAAGGGAAATACACTCAATCTAACCTCTTTTGGGCTAGGCGGGGATGGGTGGCAGTTTCAAGTGGTCCGCCGCGGAGCTTCGGAGTTGCTTGCAACTTTCTTTGTTGCTATTTCGATCTCCAGAAAGGCCAAGTCTTGGGCAGTTGTTCTTTTCGGACTCCTTTTCTCTTTTTGGCGTTACCATTCATGGCTTCGAATCAGAAGGTTCGCCGCATTGTCCTTACGGGCGCTGTCACGGTCATTACGATTGCTGGTTCGCTTTATGGCGCTGGCATTAAGACCGGGCAACAGGTTACTCAGGTACTATTCTCTAATTGTTACGTTCAGCGGTTATTGGCTATTATATATGTTCCATATTGGGTATTACAAGAGCTAAAACGGTGGTTATGGTATATAGCAAGCCCAAAAAACCCAAGAAGTTACCATTGACGACCGAATCGACGGCCTCCGAAGCATGCGACAGAATCTGGTATCGAAGAAGGAGCTCGTCGAGAAGCAGCTCCGCGACTTGGACGTGAAGATCGAGGAAAGGAAGCTGAAGAATATGGATGGGCCGAAGAGGGAGCCACCGAATTATAAGTAACAAGGGGAATTCTTCGAGAAGTTCAGGAGTACAGCAAGCAGGTAAGTGGTTCACGAAGCCGGGCTGTCAGGATGTCGTTCGAGATGCTCATTGTGGTGTTGGTAGAGGACGCCAATCTACACAGCCTCCTTGTCAGAAAGCCGCTTTGAGCCTTTGATCCCTCTGCGCTGCTTGGCTCTGCAATGTCGTGGCGGTAATGCAGCCTGCTAGCACTCCCTTGCCAAGGCACAGAGCCCGCTCTTCCAAGGCTGCATACCCGCGTCCGAAGGACCAAGAAGTGTGGGATCTTCGCTTTCCCGTGTCCCGCTGCCCTTTGCGACGGTAGACGATGAGCTTCTAGCAGAGCTGTGCAGAAGCGGTTGGGAGGAGGGATCATAATGCTCACAACCGTCGCCCATCTCCTACATGGCGCGAATACTTTGTGGTATGTTTGGTCGCTTGCACACCAAGTACTGGACGAACCTAAAGTGGCCCAATGGCCTCACGGTGGTTTTGTACACGCCAAAACATCTTTCCACCGTCTACGAGTAATACACCTAGTACTATGAGTACTAAACTTGGGTCATCAATGCCACCAACAGTACTCCGGCACGACCGGTCAGGTACAGGTGAATAGAGCCAAAAGAGATCTATGAATTTATATGATATCTCATCCCAAGTGCCAGTAAATCGCGCTATAACCCAATATATACACCAATTAAAAAAACCGCTAAGCCAGATGAGCAAATATTCAAGCGAAAGTATCAACTGTCCAAGATACCTCGCGCAAGAGCAGCGAGACTCGCTTCGTATCTCGCCGGATTATGGTCACTGAACATGCCCGAGCCGAACTTTAATTCTCCGAATAATGCTTCAGTATCCCGAATGAACTTCAGTTGCACTCTTGTTGCGGGCCGACCTAGCAATGGATAGCCATCCTTGTCCATGTCGGCAGTAAAAGCATTCCGCTGGAGGACACGCATTGTCTCAACCACGAATACCTCTCCCGGCGGCATCAGCTTTGGAGCACGCATTTCGTCTCTGAGCATCTTCAGAGTATCCCAGGCCCAAGCATCTTCCCCAACGTCATTCCCGGCGTGTGTAAGGATAGGCGGTTCTTTGACGTAGAATTTGTTGACTATACTCTGCCTCAGGCCCTCCCAGACGCGGAACCGTACGTGAGACTTAGCATTAGAGACATCGCTTTTGAATGCTAGGGACGCCGTATGCATATCATGCAAGATGCCTAGTGAGAGGCTAGGCACCACATCTTGGCCGTTGACAATCGTCGTTATCAGGCCGCGCGTCGCACGGCGCAAGAAGGGAGACATAGTCGAGGGAGGGCCGTACGCATAGACATGTATAGGCCTTCCAGGAGGAAGGGAAAGGGCAGCGCTGCAGTTACCCTCATTGCCTCCAGTCGGACGTAAGTTTCCTTTGGCAGACTGGTAGGAAGTAGTAGTGAACGATGTTCCAGAACTGTCGTTATTCGGCTCTGAGATCATTGTTGCTAGGAGTGCAGCGACGCCCCCTCCCAGTGAGTGACCGCAGAACACCACACCATAATCCGGAAATTCCTCCAGGGCCGCCCGAATCGTAATCATAACTCGGCTGCTTCCACCCATCAATAGCCGCTTTGCAGAGGCATGCATGCCCTTGTGGACTTTCCAACTTCTACCTTGCCATTCGAGATCATCGTAATCACAGGTCATGTCTGTGAGGATGTCTTCAAAGCCCCACGTCCCTCTCAGAGTAAGAACTACCGCCTTAGACTCATGATCCACAAAAAGGTAATGGACTAGAGGAAAACCACTCTCTGTCTCTCCGGCAGCATTAGTCCCACCTGCAGGGTCCACATAGGACGATAACAAGATTGTAGAAGCTGGTAGGCCTGCATGGTCCGAGAACTCGCTATGCTCAGGACTGTATGATTCTTGGTAAGGAAGAACCTGCGTGGTCCGTGGGATACCCATAACTTTGAGTGCACTCGAACCATAAGAAGCTGAAGAGAAGCGACAGAAACGTCTGATGTTGTGCACAAAGTGCTTTTCCGGAAAGATGCCCGGGACGGTACCGTCCCGGTTGAGCGCACGAATAGTTTCTATGTCGTCGTATGCACTTTTTCGCGCACGGTGAGCCAATATCAGGGATGTTTCAGAGCCCGCGGTTGCTAAAGAATAGAGGCTCGGGGAGAATGAGCCCGACTGCCGGTAGAAGACAGGTGATCCCGGCCGAGAATCGTCGTTCAGGGATATTGCCACATCACTTTCTGACCTAGTCAAGGACATAGAGCTGCTGCTACGTACGTGAGCCCTCCTTGGAGTTGGCGTTCCCGGTCGTAGGTCCAAAGGTTGCCGAGTATAAGCATCCGTCTGTGCCATAAACGACTCATTATTCTTCTCATGTATCGTGTAGTTGTCTGTTCTGGAACTTCTTCCGTGCTTAGTATCGTGGGATGGGCATGACGTGGGAGTCGGGGCGGATTTCACTCGGTGTCCTTGCAATGGTATCCTCGGTAAGCCTCTATTTGCCACGGATGCTGAAGACCCGCGGTTGTGTGGTACCGGCAAGTTGTCGAGCTTCTTCGTGGGATTGGATTGTTTTGAGATTTTTCCGCGCTGAGGTAGGTTCTCTGACGAAGAAGGCGTCTTTGACTTTTCGACAACCAATCCGGCGAACTTACCAGTATCTTTCTTGCTCGATGGTATAGGCTTCGTCTTCGGGGTGAGCTTCGACAGTGAGGCTTTCTCATGAGAGTCTCTAGACGGTTTATTTGCTTGCTTCTTCGGGGAGATGAGTTGCAGTTTGCTTACACCGGGCTCAACACCCACGTGTCTGTCTGCGCAAAGCATGCCATGTAATGAGTTGTCGGCATTCAATGTCTCATCCCCGGTGTTCCCTAGTATTTGACGCTCGCTTAAATCCTCCACATCATTGTCAACACGATTCACTGCGGAGTCAGACCTGGAAGGTCGCACATCGGAGCTTCGGGTACTATTGAAAGCTGTGCGAAATACCACAGTATGTTTAGGAACCTGTGACTCGTTTGTGTGCCTGTGATCAAGCTCATCACCGAAGGTCTCCTTGACAATTGTTGTGCCTGGTGGTGGGGAAATTTCTGCAGTGGCGTCATCGTAAACTTCCACTGTAATCGTACGTGCTGTGACCAGGTCCGTCCTGATAGACGCACGGCAACCCTGGGGCAGTTGCTTCATAATGTATAAGCGGATGTCTTCGTCTGACACTTGATGTTGATCTCCCGGGGGAAGCGAGAGGTACGGGACTTCGTCGGGATCGATTGTACTTGCCGGTCTCCGTACAGCATCGAAAACCTCTTCATCATTTCCAGGCGATATGAATGACGAGCGATTCATATTATCGTGTGGTTGATCATAAGATATAGTCGCCATTTCTAGTTGGTGTGAACCGACAACATCTGCCCTCAGCCCATTATCCAATATAACGACATCCCAGACTGTTTCCTCCCCATTATTTGCGCGGAGGTGTCTTTGCGTGTTTGTCCTTCCCCAGCGTTGCAGGAGTGCAAACCCAACACAACCAACAAGAAGATCGCCCACACCAATCTTGTCGGCACCAAGGTCGGTATGCGGACTCCTAAATTCCCTCCTAATGAGGGTAATGATGGCAGCAATCGCCCTCGACGACTCCGTAGAACCAAGGATAGCGTCGAGGGTAGACAAAAGAGATTGAGACATGTTGGCAGCAGAAGAGAGTGTGGTAGAGGAAAGATGAAATGAAGCAGCTGCAAAGAATGACGCAGACGTGACTGTCTTGTGCAAGGTGGCCAACTAAGTCCTGAGTTAGCCTTCAGAAGATGCAGGATTAGAATTCGGACGAACACTCACGCTTCGTTCTAGTAGCGACTCTGCTTCTGCCTTGCCATGCTCTCCGCTGGTCCTGATGGCGACATCACGTCCAGCTCGAGTCAGTATGCCTTCGATCATAGCTCTACTGAGTTCAAGCCCCGTTAACGTTGTCGCTTTCGCACTATCGAGCGCAAGACCTCCGACAAACGTTCCCAGGCGAAGAGAGAGCGAAGTTGACTGCGTCATGAACGACACCATGGACGCCAGGGGACGAGGAAGGAGAGGTAAGCCCGAAGTGGCAGGAACATGAGCGGCGCCATTGTCACGGAGGACTTCTACTTGCGTTTGTTCTTCGACATCCTGCTTCTTCGCCCTCCCGAAACCAAAGAATCTAGACATCTCGGGGCCTCAAGTATTGGTTGAGACTGTCTTGGTTTCCATTAGGCAAATGTTGTGCAGCCATGAGGCACTGGTCTCAAGTCGGAGACATGAACAGAGGTGCAGGTACAGATTCGAAGAATACTGGCCGATAAGAGATGCCTGGCCAGATCAGCGGTTGAACGTAGCAGTCGAAGACTGGTTCCTGCAGTGGTTGACCGGCAGACAGAACTGTAGATCAGTAGCCGGTGGCGACGAATAAGCAACCACTCATTAGGGGCTGCGGTTGAGAACGGGCATGTGATTTTGCGGGATCGCCCCAACAAAACTTGGGTCGTCGGCTTCATCTTCGGGCGGAACCCACCCCTACGCGACCAACTCATGACGGACACTGGTAGTGTTCCTTCACCCTCTGTGGGGAGAACGCGACGCGAAATCATTTATCGCGAAGCAAGTATACAAGTATCAAGATTTGGTGCTACCCCACAGGCTCCAGTTTTCCCCTCATTCCTTCCCCAAACTCCGTCATCTGATCTTTCCCTTAATTGGGCATCTTCACGTTGCCGGCTAATAATATGTTACATGTCACAACATTGCCTTCCCATCTCCAGGGTACACAACCTTCCTGATCTTGTCGCGGGTGCACTCGGCCACGGTACATATCCCTGACAGACTCATGGTCTGCCAGAGATCCGCCAGAAGCCCCTTCATCACGGCTTCGGCCCCGTTCTTTCCATCGATTGCCAACCCATAGATCACCGGCCTGCCAACCAAGACAGCATCCGCTCCCAGACAAAGCGCTTTAATGATATCTGC